ATCTCTTCAGTCATCGCAACAGTCCAATTTGCAGCCTCATTGCCACTAATAGCCTCCTTGTAGGTAGAAGGTTCTGGAACCTCAATCGATTCTGCTACACTCAAAGCATAAGCAAGCATGTCTGCATAGCGTTGAGGAGGTCGGATCTGCCTTTTTGTTCTCCCGGTGGCAATATTATACTGTTGCTCTTGCGGTGTATCAGCATCTGAAGTTGAACCTTCCTCAGTATCAACTGGTTCAACATGAGCGCCCTCAAGCACTCTCTTTGAAGTTGAGCTCTCTAGCTCCACCTGCTTGCTAGACTCCTTTTCAGTACCTGTAGTGTCAATAACAAACTCCTTTCTCGGGTGAAGCATGGATTTTTCATCAAAAGTAACATCCCTACTAATAATAAACTTAGGTGACTTGGGATCAGAACACCACAATCTATATCCCTTCACCCCAGTAGCATATCCTAGAAAGATAGCTTTCTTTGCTCTAGGTTCAAGCTTACCATCATTAACATGAAAATAAGCAGAGCAACCAAATACTCTTAAATAAGAGTAATCAGCAGGGGAACCAGACCATACCTCTTCTGGAGTCTTAAAATCAATTACTGTGGAAGGAGATCTGTTTACCAAATAGCAAGCTGTATTAACTGCCTCAGCCCAAAAGTCTTTTGACAAACCGGCATTAGAGAGCATGCACCGAGCTCTCTCCAAAAGTGTTCTGTTCATCCTTTCTGCAACTCCATTTTGCTGTGGTGTATGCCGAACTGTACGATGACGCACAATACCTTCATTCTTGCAGAACTGGTCAAACTCCGTGGAACAAAACTCCATCCCATTGTCGGTTCTGAGGCGCTTTACTTTCTTTCCTGTTTGCTTCTCAATCATAACCTTCCATTGCTTGAAGGTTACAAACACATCACTTTTATGCTTCAAAGGATACACCCAAACTTTTCTGGAATAATCATCAATTAATGTTAGCAGAAAACGAGCTCCACCTTTCGATGGAACCTGAGAGGGACCCCAAACATCTGAATGGATATAATCTAAAGTACCCTTGGTTCTATGGACACCGGTACTAAAGGATACTCTATGGTGTTTGCCGAAAACACAATGCTCACAAAAGTCTAATTTGCTGGTTTTCTGACCACAAAGCAGACATTGTTTGCTCAATATATCTAGTCCTCTCTCACTCATAGGCCTTAACCGCATATGCCAAAAATGTGTAGTGTCTGAATCTGGATCCTCTGAAGATGACACTGCTGCAACACATGTTACTGTACTACCTTCAAGGATATAGAGGGTATTTATCTTCTTTTCTTTCATCACAACAAGAGATCCTTTACTTACTCTCAAAACTCCACCTTCAGCCGAAAACTTAAAACCATTTGAGTCAAGGGTGCCTAAAGAAATGAGGTTCTTCTTTAACTCTGGAATATGACGGACATTGCTCAATGTTCTAACAATACCATCATGGGTTCTAATCTTAATTGATCCGATACCGACAGTCTTGCAAGGCATGTTATTTCCCAACAAGACATTCCCACCATCGATAGATTGATATGTGACAAACCAATTCCTATGCGGACACATATGGTAGGAACAACCCGAATCAAGAACCCACTCATCTTGTGAATGAGTATTAACACTAACTGAAAGAACATCATGTGAACTAGAAGACTCTTCAGTTACAGTGGCAACTGAAGGTTTTACATCCCCAGACTTTGACTGTGAATTGTCCTTTGCTTTGAGCGCTGGACAATTAGTTTTTATATGCCCATATTTGTGACAGTAATAACATTCAACATTTCTTCTTGGCCTGGACTTTGATCTAAACATGTTTCTAGATTTGCCTCTACCACTAACACCCTTTTCAGGACGACCACGAGCGAACAAGCCTTCAGCTTGATCCTCTCCTCCTACGACAGACACTTTCTGCCTTAACTCTTTTGAATGTAAGGCTGATTTGAGATCCTCCAAAGAAAGTGTATCTCTACTGTACAACATGCTATTGACAAAATTTTCGTAGGAATGAGGTAATGAACATAACAAGATGAGTGCTTGATCTTCTTCATCAATTTTAACACCAATATTCTTTAAATCCATAAGAATAGTGTTAAGTTCATCTAAGTGGCCTTTAATTCGCATACCTTCCTTCATGCGAAGGGTGAAGAGGCGTTGCTTCAAGTAAAGCTTGTTCGTCAGAGATTTCGTCATGTACAAGCTCTCCAACTTGAGCCACAAACCGGCGGCGGTATCTTCATCGGCAACCTCCCGCAGGACCTCATCGGCCAAACAGAGCTGTATGGCACTATGCGCCTTCATCTCCAGCTCTTCTTTCTCGTCATCGGGCATAGATTCCGGCAACTTATCCTTTCCGGACAAGACCTTGAACAATCCTTGTTGTACTAGGAGAGCCCTCATTTTTACTCTCCACAAACTGAAGCTGTTTTTCCCATCGAATTTCTCCACTTTGTACTTTGCAGAAGACATCTTGAAGCCAACTGGAACAGTAACTGTATTTATGAACAATAACGTATTTGTGAACAGTAACCATACGTATGAATAGTGGCCGTACGTATGAATAGTAACAGTACTTTTGAATAGTACCGTACACGTGAATAGTACCCAGTGCCTTTAAAGAGTAAATGATAATCTAACTTATTTTCTGATGTGGAGGATCCACTTTTAGTGGCAGCCACAGAGCATACGATAAGCAGATACACGTACTCTAAATATGGCTCTGATACCAGTTTGTTGCAGCGGAGGGGCTTCACAGACACAGAAGATGTCTATACAAGAGTGGACAAATAAAACAGCACACCAGGATTTAACGTGGTTCGGTCAGTATGACCTACGTCCACGGGCGAGAACAGCAGAGAAATTCATTAATCACCAAAGAGAAGATTACAAAGAGGAGATCACTCTCTTGCCAGAGACTCACACATAGAAAGAGACAAATTCTTTCTATCTCACTCTCTTCTCTCTCTCTCTCTTCTTTTCTCTACTCAACTGAGTTTTCGATGCTCTTAAACCCTCTCCCTACACCTCCTTATATAGGCTCAAAATATTAATAAAAAATACAAAGTTGGTTGGTGAGGAAGTGATCTGGCGTTGCAAAGTTTGACAAAACATCACAAGTGTTAGGTAAATGAGGACAAATTTCAAAGTCATATTTCTCACAAACTCCATCATATATTCATTTCCAAAACTCCCAACATGAAACGACGATCTTTTTACTAAAGTCAAACTCACATTCTCCTCCATACGACTTTTTTCCCCTCTCTCGGGCAAAGTATGACGTGGTCTCTTCGGCCATCTCGAGTCGCAGGGTCAAATTCTATCTGCAGTTCACATGCGCATGCAATGAATTCGAAAAGTAGGATTAGTTTGCAAGTCCCTTTCAGGTTTAATTCGGCAAATAATCCTCTTATATCCTGTCGCTGGTGAAAGCGTTACTGTTCTTTTTTGTTGACGGGAAACCTAATTGAGTGTTGCTACGGGGACCTAAAACATGAGACCAAGGGAGGGAACAGGTGAGGTGTCCCCTCCCTTGGTCCCATATTTTGGGTCCTTAAGTAATTTTCCAACTAGAAAATGAAGCACATTTTCTAAAATCGTGTTAATTAGCGGTAGAAAACCTCGTAGTTTTCACTATTTTGCGCTTATATACCCTCGCTTGTTTTTTGATAGCACTTACGATATGCTAAAAGTTTCAACTATACAAGCGCGACGTGGGGGAAACGGTAATGAGCCCCAAAACAATTGGAAATTTGAAAATCCGATAACCCATGAAAAGATTTTTGTTAAAAACTATTTTTAGCATGAGGGCGTTTTAACCGGGGCAGTTTGGTCATTAAAAGATGTATTTAGAGAGAGAGAGAGAGAGAGAGGGGATGAGGGGCTCTCAAGGCGAGCAGGTGCGTGAGGCTAATTAATGCGTAGCTGCCGCCTCGCTGGCGCATGCACCCGGATCCTCACCAGCGGGCTCCGCGGCCCCCGCTCCCGCCTTGATCCTTTCACCCTTTCCGTCGGCGACACATCTCTTCTTCCGATTTTGCCCCTACCGTCTAACGCCCCAACCGACACCTAATCGTATACGACGTCGATTTTTATGTGTATTAATCTAATGTTATATTTATATTGATTTTCATGTGACTTATATAATTTTGCGAGTGATACACCTAATGCCATACAATTAATGTCTGGGTTTAGCTTATCAGAAGAAAGTATGCGGTGATTTCGATCTATCGCATTGATAATGCATCGAGAAACGTTATCCGTTTCGTTATTAGATTGGAGATTTACACATCAATCTTCAATATATATTAATTTGATCCACCATTCCACATCTTTTTTACATTATAACGAATTATATACAGAACATATTGTACTACTTTAAGTACAAAACACCAAAATGTCAAAAGGACTCGAACTCGATCGTCCAAATAAACTCATAAATCTGGGTGATCTGAAGATCGATTGAGCCCTAGTTGAGTAAATAGCATCACGTGGACCCGATTTACTACATCAAATACGTATTAAGATAATATTAATCATTGGATCCGTTTACAAATCTGAAAAGCCTAATAATCTAACAATTAAATTTTTTCTGATACGTATCCAATATCGTGGGACCGAATCATAATGCATATTTCTCATCCGCGGTCACTTATTAGGCACTGCACTTTTCCTGTTCCGTTGTTCCTCCGATTATTAAGTTGACACGTGCGACGGGTAACTTGGTTCATCTTACCCTTCACGCACTGTCAGACAAACAAAAAAAAAGGGGGGGGGGCGAAGCCCCGATACAAAATAGAAGAGAGAGAGCTCAAAAGGATCACGGCGGATGGTTCCGAGGAAAAACTAGGGTTTTTTTGGTCCGCACCTTTTTCTTCCTGGAAGAAAAAAGGGCTTTTAGTCTTACATGGCATTTTGACTATCAGCCCGAAAGCAATAGTCAGCCCCCCCCCCCTCATGCCTTTCTCATGCTAGGTCGCACAAGATCAAAAATTGAAAAATAAAAAATAAAAAATCATATATAATTCAAACTCCAACCCCCCTCCCTCTCTCTCTCTCTCTCAGTGCTAACTTCAACTTCTTCTACTGTCTTTGTTGTTGAGCTCTGTGATCTGACTTCGGTAGGGTTGGGGTTAGGGTTTCGAGAGGGGGACGGAGGGAGAACGAAGAGCAAGCTGTAATCTTTTGCTCGCCTTCTTTCTCTTTCTTTCTGCCCTAATAAACACAAAGATTAGATTTTTGTTTTTTTTTAAAGGAGAATTTGAGCAATGCCCGTTGGCAGCGTGATTTCTCAGTCTAGGTTCATCTCACCTTCTGTTCTACAAAAGCCCATGTTCAATTCTCCTGGACTCTCGCTCGGACTGGTAAAAATTCGATCAATCCCCCCCTCTTTTTTTTTTTTTCCTTCTTCCATTTTTCTGGTTGGTTTCTGACCGGATTTTGATGGTTATGCTTCTTCAGCAGAGTAACGATTTGGACGGGAAAGGCGACGAGCTGAGTCGAATCATGGAGGATTTGGATTCTGCTAGGGACGAGGAGCGCGAGAGCAGATCTGGGAGCGATCACTTGGATTTTGCTTCTGGGGATGATCTCGAGCTTGAGAATCCGAGGAAGAGGAAGAAGCAGAAGCGATACCATCGGCACACCCCTCAGCAGATCCAAGAGCTCGAAGCGTAAGTATTTCATTTGTTATTTGTATTCAAAAAAAAAAGGAAAAAAAAAAAATCTTTTTTCGTTTGCTCGGGCGACAATGTTGCTGGATTACAAACGCCTGCAGGCTTTTCAAGGAAAGCCCTCATCCTGATGAGAAGCAGAGGATGGAGCTGAGCAAGCGCCTCAACTTGGAGCCCCGACAAGTCAAATTCTGGTTCCAAAACCGCCGCACTCAGATGAAGGTACCGCTCGAAACCCTAATTTCTCTCTCAAGATCATGTCCTAATTTCACTTGTGCCTGTTAAAAAAAGACCCAAATCGAGCGACATGAGAACGCGCTACTCAAGCAAGAGAACGAGAAGCTCAGGCTCGAAAACATCACTATAAGAGACGCGATGAGAAGCCCAATGTGTGGGGGTTGCGGAGGCCCAGCGATCCTTGGGGAGCTCTCCCTCGAAGAGCAGCAGCTGAGGATCGAAAATGCTCGATTAAAGGACGAGCTCGATCGAGTCTGTGCTCTTGCGGGGAAGTTTTTGGGAAAACCCGTTACGGGGTTCTCTACATTTTCTCCGGCCATGCCCAACTCGTCCTTGGATCTTGGATTTAATGGATTCTATTCAATGGCCCCGAATTTGCCGCAAGTTTCTGATTTCGTTGCTTCCAGCTCAACGGGAACTGTTATCGACAGATCACTTGAGAAATCTGTACTTTTGGAGCTGGCATTGGCTGCAATGGATGAGCTTGTGAAGATGGTACAAATGGGGGAGCCTCTTTGGATACAAGGGTTTGAAAATGGGAAGGAGGCATTGAACTATGAGGAATATTTGCAAGTTTTCCCTCGATGTATTGGAGCGAAGCCTGTCGAGTTTGTGTCTGAGGCGACGAGGGAAACTGGGATGGTGATCATCAACAGCTTGGCCCTTGTGGAGATTCTCATGGATGCCGTAAGAAATTCTATCAGTATAGGATATTGGGCAGAAAATTAACTTCAGGTTCGCATGATTGATAGAAACACTTTTATTATAACAAACAATTAAGCGCGTCAATCATGCAAACCTGTGTTGGGTTTTCTGTACTTTACCCTAAGAAAATTTAGAGTTTACATTGAGATTTTGACTGATGTGCTTTCATTAATGCAGAATCGTTGGGCTGATATGTTCCCTGGTATGATCGCCAACGCGGTCACCACCGATATAATCTGTAGCGGCGTTGGGGGTACTAGAAATGGAGCAATTCAGCTGGTTAGTTTTAGTTCATGGATTTGATCCCAAGTATTTTTCTACTACTATTTGATTTGTAAATATGGTTGTTTGTTTGGTGTTGGTTTTAGATGAATGCTGAGCTTCAGGTTCTTTCGCCGCTGGTTCCCACTCGAGACGTGAGCTTCCTGAGATTCTGCAAGCAGCTTGCTGAGGGAGCATGGGCAGTGGTGGATGTGTCGATCGATGGAGGAGGGAGGGAGAGCTCGTTGGTGGTGGCCGGAAGTAGTATGAAGTGCCGGAGGCTGCCGTCTGGTTGCGTTGTGCAGGATATGCCCAATGGATATTCTAAGGTATGTTTCTGTTGTTAGGTTCCAATATTTTCCTGCTTATGTTAATCTCATATAGAATTTTATTGATTATTAGAGCTATGTTTGGTTTGCAATTAATGAAATTATTTTGCTAAAATGGGACAATGTATTGAAAGAACTTCTAATATACAGAAAAAAATTGAATACATAAAAATTATTATTTCTGAAGTTATAGTAATACAAGCTGTGGAACGCTAATCTCTATAGTCAGGGTATTGATACTGAGACTGTTATGATTTATTTCAAATATAGCATCTTATAGTTGTCAGGGTATTGATATTGTTACTGCTATGATTTATTTCAAATATAACATCTTATAATTGTAGAATTATATGATTGTATTTAGTTTCGTTTGGTGTTGGAGTAGAGTCATAGATGTCCATCGAACAACTGACAATCATGATTTAAAAAATAAAAATAAAAAGAGGGGTCTCTTCAATATTTTTGACTGTGTAAAAGATCCAAATCCAACCGTGGGCAGGTGTCGGTGATGATGGATATTGTGACGAATTCTTCATATCCTTAATAGCTAGGCTGTTAATTTCCATTGCCCTTTTTTTAATGTTTGGGAGCTTCACAAGTCAAGGGCCCAAACTCCCATCTTCAAAAAATTAGGTTCATTGGGCAGCATACTTTACTAAATAATTAAATTACTAAACAAAGATTAGATGCTTCTTCTACTAATCTAGAAAATACCACCCCTAGGCTACTTACTGTCCGCATTCAATCAATATGTCCTTTGTTTTCGCTTTCGCAAAACTTTTATATATCTAATTGGAAGCCTGAACCCGAGGCCAAGCCGTCGCCTCCGCTCTTGATTTCCCCAGTTTTGCTTTGTTTAATCCTCCTCCTTTATCTTTATTAGAGCTTAGCTCTGTAAACAAATTCTTTGACGGGTTTCTATTCTATTCTATGTTTTGTCTTTCATTAGCCCAAAATTTCCTACTGATTCTTCATTCTTGGGTTAATTAAATTAAGATTAGGTGTTCGGATCTCGAAGTGTAGATCACTAGATAGCCTTTGAATCATTGTTTCAAAGGTTAGACTTATTGTATGATTATTGGGTAACGATATTTTAATCTAGATTTATTTCTAAACTAATCGCTAACCGAGACCACTACATGCATGAGTTAGGAAAAATAGTAAAATTATAGCTATGAGGTGAAAGGATACAAAGATAAACCTAATATCTGATTCGAAGAATAGGATTCCCGTGACATTTGAAAATTTTGAGATAAAGAGCATTTTTGGCAAATTGTATAAAATTGTGTTAGAATTAGTCTTGGTCCAGTTTTATGACAAACTAGTTCTATTTTGAACGCGGCCGCGGGGGAGGGGGGATGATTCCAAATAGAGCTAGTTAGTGGCCTATTTTTTGCTGAAGATAAATTGGACCAACTTTGACCCAGTTTTTCCAAATCAAGATTCCTCTCAAACTTGAACGAGGCTTGAACCTGGTCCAATTTTGTGAGATAGCCAAACAGGCCCAAAAGCTCCAATGTTATTCTTGTTGAACAATAATATGTTAATGTAATTATAAAATGATATTGATAAACTTTTCAGATACTTCTGAATATAATGTGCATTTAATCTCATGAATAAAATGGGAAGGATGATTCCTACTGATGGTTTTTGATGATTAAATAAAATATTTCAGAGCATAAGATTTGTATAATGTCTATTCTATTGAGTTTTATAATGTAATCCTGCGATCTACTGGTCCGAAAATCCAACTAATTGAAGACTTGTTCATTAATTGGGGATTAGAAGATTCTCAGAGTCAAACATCATACTCGGACTCTTAGCTTTTTCAACCCATAAGGGCTTCTTTTGTCGTCTTGCGTTAACATGTCTTCGCGGACCACGGCATCGTATCCTGCCCCAGCTAATAAATTCATTTCTGTAACGTGACTGTGTCCAGGTTACGTGGGTGGAGCACGCGGAGTACGACGACGCTGCGGTGCACCAGCTGTACCGTCCATTGCTCCGCTCGGGCATGGCGTTGGGGGCCCACCGCTGGGTCGCCACGTTGCAGAGGCGATCAGAATGTCTCGCTATTTTGCTTTCATCCTCCATCCCCAATGATAATTCTGGTAATTTCTAAAACAATCATAGTCTTTATTTTATACAATGAAATTTCAGATAATTTCTATCATTGGCTTCAAATACTCTACATACCGTTTTAGAGAGAATAACTAATACTACTCTCTTTCTCAAAATTGCTTCCCGACTATAGCAGAGAGAAGTGTGAACTCTTTTGATGAGTCATTAATTTTGATAAAAGTTGAAGATGAGTTTAGAGGAAATAGCGTTGTTATCATGTACCATGATATATGTGCTAAGAAAATAGTTAAAAGTCTTCAAATGATTATCCACTCACAAGGCACGTGGTGCATGTGTATAATAGTTTAAGAGTCATAAAATGATTATACACTCATAATACAGATGGTGCATGTATGTAATAGAACTACTTTTTTTTTTATGTTCTTTATCACATTCATAATGATGTCAGTTGATTTTATTACGTTTTCTTTTGCACAGCCATAACCCCGGCGGGGCGACGGAGCATGTTAAAGCTAGCACAACGGATGATGGACAACTTCTGCGCCGGAGTCTGCGCATCTTCGTCCCGCAAGTGGAGGAGGTTCGTCAGCGTCGGCGACAACAACATTGCGGATGACGTCCGGGTGATGACGAGGCAGAGCCTCAACGAGCCCGGGGAGCCTCCGGGTGTCGTGCTGAGCGCCGCCACGTCGGTGTGGGTCCCGGTGCCCGAGAGGCTGAGGAGCCAGTGGGATATTTTGTCTAATGGTGGGCCCATGCAGGAGATGGCTCATATTGCCAAGGGACAGCATCAGGGCAACGCTGTCTCTTTGCTCCGTGCTAGCGTAAGTACTCTCTCTCTATATATATTTTGCTTGAAATAAAATATATCAACCTGGAATTTGAATTATAGATAACTTAGATAATGATTTAAGAAAATTTCCCCAAGTGACTTATTTGATTTGGTTTGGAGCATAATTCATATGAATAATGACAATAATGGGCAAATCCCTGTTAACACTCTCAGGTCTACAATTTCCTTCTTAAAAATGAGAAACTAGGGGCGCTAACTGTTGATAAATTAGTTGAGGGGTATTGCATGGGAGGGGGCTTTTTGTAGGTTACCCGCAATAGTTGTACAAAAAATTATTCAATACAAAATATCATTTTTTAAAGAAAACTTGATACAAGCTTTCATGCCATTTAACAAATTTATTTTGAGATTAATGTTATTTAATGTGACTATTTACAAAATGAGTCTAACCTTTACTATCATTTTATAGTGTATTTGGCAAAATGCTCACCACTTTGCCCCTTTTTTATTGTTTTAAGTTTTAGAAGGTTGAAAGGTCAATTTGATTCGTGTATTGGGGCTTCATATTCAAATTGATCCCCATACTTTATTTTTTCTCAACTTGGTCCATGTAACTGGGGTTTCATACTCAAATTGATCACTTTGTCTTCTAGTCTTTTTAGAACTCGTGTCTAAGTGTTCCCGTTGAGAAGTGATTATGCATTCAAACTTTTTAAATATATTAATATTAATCACTTTGTCTAATCATAGGCCCATTATTAAATGAATGAGTACCTTGATGTATACGCTAATGAATAGCCAATCCAATTAATATCCGATTGCCTGTGCTCTTAAGACTCTGACGTCACATAATTCTCCCTCCACATCACAGTGGCAGCTCCATAATATCTTCCTTTAACAGTGTCATTTACGTGAACACATTTTTATGCAGGCTGCGACAGGAGGAACGCAAGGAAACAGCATGCTGATACTGCAAGAAACGTGCACGGACTCCTCAGGCTCAATGGTGGTCTACGCTCCCGTTGACGTCCCGGCAATGCACCTAGTGATGAACGGTGGGGACTCGGCCTACGTGGCGCTCCTTCCCTCGGGCTTCTCCATCGTCCCAGACGGTGCCCACAACAAGGCTGGCACTAGCGGTGGGTCCCTTCTGACTGTGGCATTCCAGATATTGGTCAACACGCTTCCATCTGCGAAGCTAACAGCCGAGTCAGTGGAGACGGTGAATAATCTGATATCGTGCACCGTGCAGAAGATCAAAGTGTCACTAAGCGCAGAGAACTAAACGAAAGGAGAAAGTATCCAGTGCTCCGGTTCATTGCATTAATGGTACATTAAATAGTAGATCTATCGTTAATGCAATTAACCGGAACTACCGAATAGTTTATTAAAAGATAATGAGGGTGGTAATTAAGTAGCTAGGAGTTTGAGTCGGAGTCAAGAACGAACCGCGCGAGTAAAGAACCATTGCTAGGTGATAAGGATTTGAGTCCGTGTTTGAGGTTCTTAACACAGAGCAATGGTGGTGGTTCGGGTATTGACTCAGTCGCTCTCTGCTTTTGTTTGTATTCTTGTATTTTGTATTTTGACAGTGTTGTAACTCTAGTGGTTGACCATGACCAAGTTGTTTTCTTTGATAGTTCAACTTATATTAGTATTTTTGCATCCTATCGGAATAACATTCTTCAAAATTACAATATAATTCATATTTGTATCGAACGCTTTATTTGTATTTTATACGTACAAGGAGTCGGATATATTTGTGAATGTCTCCATCTTTTCGCATTTGTATGTGAGACCCGGCCTTGTTATTGTACTTCCACCATTTATGATTCTTAGTAGGTCATCTAATAAGATGGAATATGAGCTTGTGTATTCATTATGCATGTCTCGTCTCTCTTGGTTTGTTAATTTCCTATTTCTTTTCAAGTGTTGTGGAGTAGCTAAAAGGACCTATTGTTGACGACTGATATCAAACAGTCAATGAAAGAAGTGATTAAGTTGACGGAGGTCCTCTAACCCTCTGAATAACCCTCTGAATATCCGGTTCTGAAATAGGTTGCTCTTTTCTGCACAAGTAGCAAATCGTAAGAGGACGGAGTTGGGTTCCTCGGTTATTCCTCCGAATATCAAGTCAGTAATATGCGTGAGTAGAGAAGTAACTGAACTGTAGTAGTTCTTAAGCACAGTGGGTGAAGAAAAAGATCTTCCCTTATTGTTGAAAAACCCCTATTTATAGTGGTGGTAGAAAGGTAGAATGATAATTTTGGCCGAGTATGGGATGATGACCATGTCAGCATCCGGTTTACAAGTGTCGGTCGATAAGTGGAGAAGATGTCACATTAGTATTTAATGCGAAGTGATTGGGTGTGCGCGGTGCCGACGTGGTCCGAAAAAAAGATGTGTCATAAAGACTATTGGGGGCAGAGGAATGATGACACCCATAACGTATTTAATGATATTTATTGTGAGGTGATCAGTTGTCAGTACGCGAGAGGAGGCTCGAGGTATTATATTGCCTTTCTACTCGTACGATGGTCGAGAAGTACCGCCTTTTGAGTTGCCTTCGCAAGATGTCGGTCGATTGGTCGGTCGAGTAAGGTGATTAAGCAGTCGATTTAGCCAGTGGTCGACACGTAACGCCTTTCAAGTCGTCCTCATAAAATGTCGGCATGTTGAGTTGACCGAATTGGGCCTTTGATTATCTTGAAGTGCCGACTCGATTACGCATAGTGTGTGACACTTATCTGCCATTGATTAAAAATTATTTTTCAGCACTAAAATGGCTATAACAGTGAAGGAGGAGATGCGTACTTGACATGGCTTCTCTGCTGTCCGACATGGGCAGCATGCAGAGGCGAAGGAGGAGCCTTGAGCTGGGCTTCTAAAGGGTGAGTTGTCGAAAGCTGGTCCTCTGATGATGGAGGAGCAACAGAGTAAGTGGGTTGAGGCGAAGGAATCCGATGGAGGAGTTTAGTGGTGAAGGTGGCGAACTCCTGCTGGAAAGCTTGGGTGATCCCTGGGTGGATTCCTCAAGCTAGGTTACTCTCCATACATGGAGGTGACTGGGGAGAGTCCCAACAGTGGTCGTGACAGAAGGGACCACACCATCGTGGGAGCTTAGGGAGATCCTCAACGTTATCACGCCGCTCCAGGCCCCTCATCTACCTACACGGCCTCCGGTTATGATCGAACTTACCGACCAATCACCGAAGCCATTGGGGGAGCACTCCTCTCACCGATGACATCATGAATACCTCCTGTGAGAAATTTAAAATACCTCAATTAGAAAAGTACAAGGGCGAGGGAGACCCTGCGGAGCATGTCCAAAATTACTATGACATGATGAGCATGTTGCAGGCTCCCAAAGCCATTATCTGCAGGTATTTTCCCATCATCTTATCGGGAAGAGCCAAGCTCTGGTCGAACTCCCTGGAGAAGAAGTCCATCGGCAACTATGAGCAACTCAGCCAGAAGTTTGTGCACCATTTCCTGGCTGACACCAAGCACAAGTTACCTGCTCATGTATAGATACAAATGAGGCATGAGTTTGGAGAGAGCTTTCAAAGCGATTTCAAGAGGTTCCAAGCAAAGAGGTTAGAGGTTAACGACCCAGGGAGCACGATCGTCATGTCGGCCATTGCGGCCGACCTATTAAACAATGAGCTGGCCGACTCACTCGCCAAGAAGCGATGCTCTACCTACGAGTAGTTGATGGCCAAGGCTTATGGGTATATGGACATGGAGAATGCCCGAGCCTACAAGAATGCTGCCTTAGGCAATGAAGTAACAGAACGTGCGGGCAAAATAAGATAAGATTTAGACAAGCAACAAGTAGACTACTGACAAAAATACCTAACGAGTAGCACGTGTCAGTATTCTACTGTTTAAGCCAAGATCACTATGTTGCACCAATTCCACACCAAGTCGCCGGCATATGACGCCCAGGCGACACAGCTACTATCGGGAGAGTCGGCCACGGATCTTATCCCAAGACCCAAGTCGGTGAGCCATCCCCCCAGAGCCAACTACCACCCAAACCGGTCCAACAGGAGGGACCGAAAGAGGGAGCCACCATCCAAACCAGTCCTCATGGCCCTTAACACCTCCCTCACTAACGACCTCTATATTGTTTAGCAGGAGGGGTATCTCAACTCTGCCCCTCCTTGAATGAAGTCAGATCCTTTCAATCAAGACATTCAATAATACTGTCGATACCATAGGGATCATGTATTCAAGAGGCTATAATTATGTAATAAAAACAATACAAGCACACCACAGAATTCTAATGCAATCAAAATAGAGGAGATAGAGTTAGGAATTGTTATCCTGTGACGCGTGATATGTTAACGAGGTTCGGTCCGCTGACCTACGTCCCCGCTCCCCACTCTCAAGGAGAAATCCACTACACAATCCGGTTTGGAAGCCGAAACTTCGTCTACACAGCGATCCCCTCACGATCTCACACTACACAGTTTTATCTACACAAGATCACACTCCCTCACAGTTGATCTACACAAGATCACACTCACAAGATAGTAGAAATGGTGTAAGACTCTCTCTTTACAACGTCCCTATGGCAAAGAGAAAGAGCACACTGAAGCTGGGAAGTGAACACACAAAAAACTCAGTGAAAACAGGTTTTGAAACATAAGCTCTGAGAAAAATAACGTCACTGGTTTTTGCAAAAGCTGGGACACTGACGAAGAAGAAGAGGTGGAGTTTAAATAGGAGAAAAACAGCTGTTTAAACCCATCCCTTAATCTCCCAAAATCTGGAACAAAACGTCGCTGAGATCTATACTGAGCGTCGCTAAAAAAGGACCAAAAAAGACCGTTTGAATAATACGGCAGTCGATCGACAAAATTTTCGGTCGACCACTGTCCAGATAGAAAACAAGAAAAACAAACAGAGACTTCATCGGTTGACCGGTGCGGTCGACCGATAGAAAAAATCGAGCTTTCGGTCGACCACATCGGTCGACCGACAAACTCTCTGCTGCCCACTGACAAATGATCATATGTGCGGTCGACCGGTGCGGTCGACCGCATTCTGATATATTTCAGATAAATAGTTTTGACTCAACTAAAAATATTTGGAAAATATTTATTTGACCTCTGAAAATTATGAAACTTTGTAAAATGTTTTTAATACTAAAAACAAACTGTTTGGAAAAAGAATTTTGCAGATAGGTCTTCATACTTGTGAAAAATAGTATTTTGTGAAAAACGCTTAAAAACATAAGTATGAAAACGTATGTGTGATATCCCAATAGCTTCAAGTGAAGTCAATAACTCTTTACCTACATTCTAGCACTAGAGAGAAAAATAAAAGATAGCTAATATCCTCATATAGAATGCAATGCTTGAGTCTTGATATAGCTTGAATTTGATGAAGCTTCTATTTGAATTTGTTGTTCTTGAAATAACGTTGCTTCATAACTATGCCTCCTCCTCCTTTGGATATCATCGTTGTAGGGCATATTCCATCCAATCCTCCATATGTGGTACTAACAAGCTTGATATATGATTTCACTACATTTGTACTTAATAAGCCATTAGTACCGATAATGGTGGTTGTAAAACATCATCAAAACATAAGGGCTAACAATCTTCCCCTTTTTGATGATGACAACCAACCATTATATAAGAGCAAAAAAATAAATATAGCTTATAGATAGGTGCTCCCCCTATCTATGAGCTCCCCCTAAGTATATGCAACAAATGAGGAGATTTCTCTCCCCCTTTGTCACCATAAAAAATGGGGTAAAGAGAAATGCAAAATGCAACTAAACAAGCAAGCAATGTAGAACTTTCACATATTGCATAAGCCCAAACCATTTCTTATGCGATAAAAATCATTCTCTCCAAGAGGCTTAGTAAATATATCCGCTAATTGAGATTTTGTGTCAACAAATACTAAGGATACATCTTGTCTCTCAACATGATCGCGTAAGAAATGATGGCGCACATCAATATGCTTGGTTCTAGAATGCAAAACTGAATTTTTGGAAATATTTATAGCACTAGTGTTATCACAAAAAAATTTTATATTTTGAAAATTCAAATCATAGTCAACTAAGCTTTGTTTCATCCATAAAACTTAAGCACAACATAAGCCGGCGGCAATGTATTCCGCTTCCGTAGTGGACAATGCAACACAATTTTATTTCTTGGAAGCCCAAGAAACAAGTGAATTTCCTAAGAATTGGCATGTTCCACTCGTACTCTTGCGATCTACCATACATCCGGCAAAGTCGGCATCACAAAAGCCATATAAATCAAAAGAGGTGCTTTTTGGATAAAATAAACCAAGATTAAAAGTTCCATTAACATACTTAATGATCCTTTTAACCGCAATTAAATGAGATGCTTTAGGAGATGCTTGAAAACGTGCACATGCACACACACTAAACATGATATCGGGTCTACTAGCGGTGAGATAAAGAAGACTACCTATCATACCTCGGTATAGTTTTTGGTCCACGTCTTTACCACTTTCATCCGCATCTAGCTTAACACTTGTACTCATGGGAGTAGGCGCATGCTTAGAGTTCTCCAAATTGAATTTCTTCACCAATTCCTTAGCATACTTGCTTTGAGAAATAAATATCTCATCCTTTGTTTGCTTTACTTGAAGCCCGAGAAACAATGTAAGCTCTCCCATCATACTCATCTCAAAATAATCTTGCATAACCTTAGAAAATTCCTTGCACAAAGATTCATTAGTAGCACCGAAAATGATATCATCAACATATATTTAAACTA